AGAGAGAGAGAGAGAGAGAGAGAGAGAGAGAGAGAGAGAGAGAGAGAGAGAAGGAAAGAGAAAGAGACAGAGTCAGACCGGTGGTCCCCCTTCCATTGGGACGTTGTCCGTATACAGGGCGTTTAGAAAGTCCGCATCGACCTCGTATCTGGCTCTGTTTGCTCGGGATGTACCGCTATGAAGCGAGTCCTCCGAGGAATACGCGCGAGCGACACTATACCTCGATATTTCTCGAGTTTGACGACCGTAAGGGAGCGTTGTATTTGCATCTAATAAGAAAAAGTCAAGAGTAAGTTCGAGAGACGCTCAGAGAAGTCGAGGTTGACCTCCTACTTTGGCGTCACCCTTCGACAATCAACTTTTCGGTCACAGGCCCCCCGTAACTTCGGTAGCGGTACTCCCCATTGAACGGAGACTTCCATGAACGGAACAGAGTTGCCTTATAAATCGCGAGCACGCGCGCGAAAAAGACGGCTAAACGTTTGACCTATTAAAGAATTGCGCGCGGCAGCTATCCGGAATACGTGAACGACCAAGAGATCGTGCTAATCGTAAGAAGCCCAGGTAGGAGAAAAGAAAATTAAAAACCGCGCTAATCGAAGGAAATCATGTCGATAAGGCTCTTGCGATCTCTTGTGTCTTTGGCAAAAATGCGGATAAACTAGCATTCTGGGGTTACGTTCAATTCGCGGGGAATTTTATCGATGAGTGTAGCGCAAATAGAGGAAGTGATAGTATTTCGTCATCTGTAATCCAGATTATGATAAGAGCGAGTGTCACTGACCTATTCGAACTGGATTTGATCGTTCGATCCGCGACACGGGGATCGCACACGTCTCTTTTTTATTAGACGCAAAGTCGTCGTAGGCATCGCGAATGATGACGCACTTCGTAGAACACAATTTACTTTCGTGTAATTGTAATTAAACGTAATCTCAGCGTGCGTCGTCTCCAATATTCCTGACACGGAGATCTCCTTCTTGTTGGGCGCAAAGTTGTCGTAGGCATCGCGAATGATGGTGCTTTGTCGAACGACATTGATTTCGCGCGATCGTAATAAAATGTGATTTTACTGTGCGTCATACCCGACATACCCGCGACATATCCAAGGCAACTTCCTCCCGCGATAATGGCCACATAGGAAAGAATTCCGCGCGGTAGTACACGTATACGCGCAGGACGCGATAGTGACACTTGTCGAATAAATGTATTTGCGGAACAAACGCGCATGAGATAACACTCGAAGTGCACGTTGCATCACGAGGAGGAAGAAAGCTAAAAGCAGCGAACGTGGCACGCGCGTGCGCGCAAGTCTGTCGACAACAAAATTGAGTCGCAAAATATGTTGTATGTTATACCATTTCGCGAAGATACGCGCAATGTCTCGCGTATTTACCATACGTATCCGCAGGAATATTCATTACGTGCAACCACGATCGCATCGCAAATGTTTCGCGCATGCATCTTTTCTTCTTTCTTTTTAAAAATGAGGGAAATGGGGACGGGAGGCTGATACCGTGGAGAAGCGCACGTTAACCCGCCTTACACCCTCTGCCTTCGTTACGCCACGCATTACACAGGCACCGCACAGGTGCATGCGCGACCGACCGCGGCTTTCGGCGTAGCTCCGCGGGGGTCGAGGGGTCGGAGGGGAGGGGGAGGAGATTCGCGGGGCGCCTGTACGCGCGATAAGCAGTGCAAATTTGACGTTGCACTCTCCGTTGCCGAGGGACAGATAACAATTTACGCGTTAATATATTAGCCAAGCGCGACGTATCTTTACGAGAACGCCCCGGCGCAAACACTCTTGTAACTGAGACGTTTGACAACGCAAACGTCGGGGGTCGTTCACCCGGCCGGTAAACGGCTTATAGGGTATAAAGGGTTCGCTTGCTCATCCCGCCCGGTTATTTCGTTGAAAATCGCGCGCTATGGAGCTGACGTACTCGCTGGTGCAACTGCTCGTCGCTCTGAGCGTGGTGCACGCGTCGGCGCGGCTGAAAGAGACGGAGGACGGCGGGGTCACCGAGACGATCAGCGAGGAGCAGCGAAAGATACACCAGGAATGCCGGAATCCGGACTACAAGAAATACGTAACATGTTTGATGAGGCCGAAACGACATCATCATCATACGGACACATTGGACAATGGTAGACTGACTTCTCTAAAATAGTAGTTGCCTATGGCGATCGAAGTAGAGATTGTAACGTAACGCGACGCGCGTAACGCGCCGCGAGCGGATTTTGCAGGGGAGTTATCGTTCGCGAAATTCTCCGGCTCGAACGCATTATGCAAGCGCATTACTCGGCAGTCTGACACTGTTGCGTCGAATTAAAATCGTGCGATCTTTTGTAGCGCGACTCGCAGACGCAGTTGCGCAACACGTCTGATCATTAGCCGTTGCAGTTACACAACTTACATGTACGAGCGCCGCTCGCGACGACTGCATTTATCGTGCCGTGCGATTAATTATTCTCGATTAATTCGTTACACATAAAGAAACACGTCGTTATTATCGCGCGCGCGTTCGCGATTCTGACTTCATTGTCGCTACAAGCGATGCGATTTCACAGATCCCGTGCATTGCTTGGAGGAGTGTATAAAGAAGTGCAGCGTGGATATGCACGACTGCGATAAGAAATGTAGCCACTGCACGAAAAAGTACAAGCATCGCCACCAAATCGTCACGGAGTACGAAGTAAACTGCGAGTCGGGGAACTGCAATGGGAGTGACGACTTGAGGGCCACTAACATTACGACGAACATTGATATCAATAATGTCATTAACACTCACCCGATCACTAGACCTGGCACTGGACCTGGCACTGGTCCCGGGAATGGCGTTGGGCCTGGTACCGGAACTGGCACTGGAACTGGTACTGGAACTGGAACTGGTACAAGTACTGGTCCTGGAACTGGTCCTGGAACTGGTCCTGGAAATGGTATTGGTCCTGGTCCTGGTGTTGGTCCTGGTACTGGCACAGGTATTGGCATTGGTGTTGGTATTAATGGAACCGTCACCGATATCGCCGTGCCATCGATCCCCTTGGTGCCTCAGATTTCGATGGTGCCGCAAATTACGTACGGGATAAACCTCGCGGGCGGGTGCATGTTCAGCTCGTGGCTTTGCATCCAACAAGGCGCCACGAGAAAAGTGCAGGTAAACGGCATACGTCGAGCTCACGACAGCTTTTGTATATTAAAGAACAATGAAATTGTAGCCTTCGAATGTGCAGCCTGACTGCTCCGTGTGCGGCAATCCTCTTCTGCATCACAGGTGCAACGTGACGTTTTGTTACGCGGCGAGCAGTGTTGGCACAGCTTGTAAGAGTCCAGCCTGTGTTGGCGGTGAGTTCGTTGCCGTGTCGTTAATTAATTTGAACTACAAACAGTGTTCTACACTATTCTATTTTTATACTATTCACAACAGTATTCTATTTGAACTACAAACAGTATTCTACAAACATTATTCTTCTAAAACACTATTCTCTTGTTGATAGCTCGTACGCTTCTGCTTCTCGTTGCTCGGCTCCGATAGTTCGCGTGTCATAATATTGTCATTTTATCTTCTAGGTTCCACGTAAGGTTTCCGAATTCAACGCGAGCAGGTGGAAGGAAGAACAGAAAATTTAATCGAGACTATCATAACTCGTAGATCGTACGCTAACGCTGAATAATGCAAAGCAATACCGTTCTCGATGGAAAAGCGCTTATAATCAACCATAAAGCACAGTTCTAGGTTTATCACGAGACAATCCCCTACATATTACTTGCTGAGATAATTATATAATGGTCAATTTTCCAGGGACAGTTTGCGAAATAAAGGCAATATTACTTCTCTTTTACATGAATCTTGTCCGTGTTCGGCCACGCGGGTCTCGCTTGAGATTGGTTATCTAGCGCCGAAGAGAGAGACTACCGTCGAGCGACCATGTGTGAACGGTTGTCTATTTACTGGCGCAGCGAAAGGGGAAAAACATTTTTACAATACCTTCCCTAAACAACCCTCGATCGAAGTGCAGAAATAAATTAAATTCGCGCATGTTTTTAACCCTTACAATATGGAAACCACTATAGTGACGTGACGGGGGTGTCGTATTTTTTATTTACCTTTTGGTATATACGAAAAAGTTGTAGTTAAAAAATTGTAAATATCACCTGAAAATACGCCCGAATTATAAGGGTTAATGAATCTAATGAGAACTATAAATTCTTGAGACAATGATATGAAACATCATCGCCTGCGATCATCTCTGAAAGTTAGCTTCAACAGACTCGGTAAATTGGCATCCCGGGCAATCGCTCGGGCGACTGCGAGCCATTTATAACAACAGCAACAACAACAACCGGTCGTTGGTGCGTCAGTCGTCATCGTCGCGTGAATAAGCAATCTCGAATCCCTACGGACGAGCGAGCGTGAGGAACTCTCGTCAAGGTACCGAGGAACAGGTGCTGGAAACGCGGATGTATAATACCCCAGTCTTTCGCACCACGGCGCAGAACCGTGACATCGTGACGTCCTGGAGGTGGAAAATCGACGGATCCATTTCTCGCTCTGTTCGCGCCCGATTAAAATCGAAATGTCGAGAAGGCATCGTTTGCGAAGTGCAACCGATGACTGCACAGGGCCGGAGAAGTGCGGAGCGCGCGAGATAGAGCTGCGTAATTGTCATGTCACCTCGATCAAAAGAGTAGGGGAGAAGATTGGAATATAAACTACTTCTTTCGTGTTGTGCCAAGTGTTAGCGAATATATCTTTCATAATGCATTCACAATTATTATAAGAGAAAAAACTAAACTGTTTTTCAGGAGCACACAATTTTTTTTTTAACATAACGCAAGAAATGGGATCTTGGAGAATGGGATGGTAACGTAAAACAGGCATGAAAATAAAGAAGAGCTCATGTTTCTCTACTATAAAGTTGTTTACATGTTACATGTTAAAATAACTTTTTTATTGAATATTTTTTGAATATAAAAGATACAAGTAGAAGATAAAATTAAAGAAATTTCTTATGAAAATTAAGAAAATAAAGTTCAACAATTGAAATTATCTAGAAGTCTTTTAGGCCTATGAACAGATATCGCAAATAAAAAGAGATCGCGGTCACATTAAACTGCATAAAACGTGGAAATATAAGATGTGATAATATAAGGCATCTTATTTCTTACCATCATTATTTTCCAAACGACTTAACAAATCTCAAAGTAGAAAACATATTTTCAAATAACTAACTTCGCAATTTTGAAGATAAGATTTAATTTTATTACTGATTGGCACATGCTAAAGTTAATACGTTAGATTTATCGATTAAGACAGGAAAAACATTTTTGTATCTTGTACTTCGTGACAAGTTTCAACAAGATAAAAGCGGCTTCTCTGAATACTTTAAACAACGTGGCAACTGAGGTCAGATCCCTTTGACGGCCGATGAACACCCTAATGGTTATGTTTATTTCAGTTATCAACAGATCTCGCAGCAATTGTTTAAGAAATCAGCCTTGTTTCATATTACCATCTTCTCCCCTGCTTGCGCGCGAGTCTCGCTCGCGAAGCTATTACGTGTTTCGTAATACACCGGGGCTCTCCGATAAGGTTAGATAGCGAAAGTGCTCGTAGCATCCCGAGCAGGCGCGGCGTGGGAATAACAACTTGTTTCTCCTACTCCCAGTGTTTCTCGCAGTTCCGCAGCCTAGACGGATCCCTTTCTAGGAGAGTTAAGTGCGGCTAGTCAGCGCACGGCTCTTGGTATTTCGCGGGTAACAGCGAGATTAGAAACGGGGAACCGATGTAGCCGGGGAAGCTACAGCCGCCGATTAATGATAAACCATGACAGGCGCGCGCGCGTAACCCGTTTGTTCGTTCGCTCACGACGAGCGAACAAACTACGGCGGTAGGATCGAGAGATCGCTGCCATGTTGGTGTCATGATCAGAAAAATAAACAGATGAACGCGAACACGAGGAGGCGCACACGCACACATCGGCGTACACGTCGACGCTTCTTGCGTTTTCGCGAGGCGTCTCGCGAGTGCGGCGATGTCGTAATGCTAACGTGGAGAACGCCGTGTCGAAGAGAGGCCCCGGAAGCCATAGGTATCCTGTGAGAGGGTCATCTCGCACGAAGATCTCGCGTAAACGCGATATTTTAACGGCACGACAGCGCCACGATAGGTACGTACATACCTGAGAGCGGACGTTAAGCGAACTCGCCCGTAAGCGACGCCTTCCATCGTTATTGTATTGTTAGAGGAGACAACTAGCCGGTACTCGGTACCGGCGATGCCGTCACCGTGCGCCACGCCATGTGCCGTGCCACGCTAGTTTCGCCAACGATAAGAATGCATTTCCCTTTGGCGCAGTCACGAGCCGGACAGCGTAGGCCGCCCTGCCTCCGAACAATCAAATTTACTGCGAATACAGAGGATCGTTCCCGCTGTTTCTGCCCACTCTCTTGCGCCAAACGTCCGCCGATCGATCCCCCCTCGGCTCTTAGCTCCGTTGAACCTTGAGACGCGACACTTTTCTCGAAGAAGTATTCTAATCGACGATTAAAACCGATAACCATCTACGACAGTCGTCCACCTCGATATTTCCGGCCACGCAATCCTCGGATACACCTTGGCTACTGATCTGTTCGTATTTGGTAAAGTTCTTATAACCCAATATATAAATAACTGGCAGCACATTTACATAAAATCTATATGAATGAAAAATACGAAAAGAGTAGCGTGACAGTATCAGTGCTTACTTGACATGACGTCTTAACGGTCATCTCTACGTTATCGACATTTTTCGAATTCGTTATCCACTTTGACATTCCCTTAAGAGTTACAGGCGATTTAAATCTTATTTCATCATAAAATCGACTCAATTGCTCTTATAGTTGAAGTATTTATTTCGTATATTTCAATTTCTAGAACCACAAGAGAATTTCTCGTTCCTTTTATCTCTATACGAATATTTATTTTTTTATACGTAAAAATACATGCGCTTTTCCATTTCAAATTTTTTTGGACTCATTTGGAAACGAATGAAGCGAATTTCAGTAACTCCAGTTTCCCCCTCGCTGAAAAAGACAATTAACCTTGACTAATCGCGGAGAAAAGATGCATTATGTAATGTGAAATGTAACATAAGAACCAGGCAACTCTGTAGAGCCGCCGATACCGCATTGTATGACGAAGAAATAAACTCGGCGCTTCCTTTCCTTCGTCGATCTCCACCTGGCGTGTGTAAGTTCGCGAGCGAATGACGGACCACCCATGGATGGTTCCCCGGTGGAACCATTCCGCACCCAGGTGGAACCATTAGAGCGAGAGATCGACCGCTAACATCCGTCGGTTGGTGTGTATCAAAACCGTTAATGTATAGGCAAACGTCAATTTCCGCTCTGTATTTTGACGACTGCATTTCAATCGTTCTTCATTTTCTATATATGAGCCGTGCGGAAGGGGTTGAATCGCGCCACACGATATCGTGCAAACGGTGCGTCGCGCTCGCCAAGAACATGAAATGTTCACGGTCCGCGAGCATATTTCCTCGAGTAAGACCCCCAGGAAGTCCCGAAGACGACCCTCCAAGGCACGTGGCGCACGCGCGCTATCGAGTCCGATCCGAGTCTTATTAACTCGGGCACATGTTGCATGCGAGCATCGACTTGCCGTGCTCGAGAACTTACGATCGCACGACAGTGCTGGCTATTAAACTATTAAAATGTCAGTTGATTCAAGTGATCGGCAAATTAAGACTCCTGGTTGCAGATTGATGACGTCGAAAATAGCATGCAAGAATGTTTGGCATACGTTTCTTCGCTTCTGACGAATCTAGAATAGCCAGACAGGAAACCTTAATAATCAAAATTAATTGTCATATGTGTAATCACAGACAGTTTAATTGATCGATGAAAATAATTATTAATCAATGTATAAACAATGAAGTTAAAGTTTGACTAATAATTAATTTTATCAGTCAATTAAATTATTCGTGATTACATATGCAACGATTGACTAATTTTCACTATTAATTTGTTGATTATCTTGAACAACGAAAATTTTATTCGATCAATTCCCAACACTGTCGCACGGAACATTCGACGCTTGTGTGCGTGAGATTATTAAATGGGACGTCAAATACGACTGAGACAATCGATAATTCTTTTCCAAAGGTTCATCGAGATGTTCGCAATCGTCTCTTCGTTTATCCACTCCTTTTCTCTTTCTTGTTCTCTCCTACTCGCTTTCTATTTTTGCAATTTTCTATTATACAAAGGTATTCTCGCACAGGAAAGTTCCTTTTTAAGTAACAAGCATCTCGAATAGCGCGTAGGCCCGATTACTCGCATGGAGATCGTGGTGGTCGTGCCGTCGAGATCGTCATCGGTCGGATAATTCGAGAAGTCACTGGCCCGTAAAATGACTACACCGTAGGCATTCGTCGAGAGCGAGTGGAAGTTCGTTGGGGACGGCCCACTGTCAAGGGTTAGCAAAAGTCCGTTACAGTTATTCCTTGGAGCAATCGTTCAGTCGAGCACTGGGAGCGCTAATGAGACCGAGCGGTAATCACGATTCGTACGTACGACGATGCGTATCGCCATTAGATATCCCGAAAACGAGTTAACGGCACGTACGAAGTCTGGAGTGCAAAACGAGCAGCATTCGTAGATTCCTGGTTATCTCACGCGAGAGTCCGGTATGTCGGGTTCGCGTAGGTAGCGCGTATACTCTTGACTTTACATCGACAAGACATCGGCAGGGCAGTCGTTGAAAAGTGCCTCCTATCCGCGAGACACAGCTATCCGTCGCGCATCTCACGCCGATCGTTTCGCGAACGATCCACGTCGACCGACTCACGTCAGTGGTGGGCCGCTCATTTTCCTTAATTGCACGGAGCGACGGCACATTCAATTAGCCCCGCGATCGAGTCGACGAGAACAACGAACGCGCGTAACAGCGGGACGTAATGACCGCCGCTGGATATTACGGCGGAGCTATGGCTCCTTAATAGACACCGGTTTCGCCTTGCCTACCGTTTGCCTATTGCTAAATCGCCCCACGACCACGACGACGTCGGCGTGGATTTTTCAATCGCGTTTAAATTTATTCAAGAAGATAGCCCACGAGATGCGGCCGACCTATTCCCGCGTGGCCAACCGAGCCCCGAGTGCTTACTGCACTATTGTTAATTTCGCCTGAGAGAAAGAGAGAGAGAGAGAGAAAGAGAGAGAATCGCTAGGATCCGATATACTACGTGTGTAGAGCCGCCTTTCCGATGGGGAAACTTGACTTCTGCCCGTGCCCTGTCTGTTAATTTATCGTCCCGGCCGATCACACGTGAGAGATCAGTGAGAAAGGCGTAGGCCAGGTTCGACTGTTTCTCAAACGGCGATGTTTCGAGTGTACCTACGCAATCCACTTGCAAGTGTTTCCGACAGGGAGGTCTTGAATTCGATAACGCGCGACTTGAAGGATCGCGCGCCGCCGTAGTAAGAAGCTGAGGAATATTGCTCTTTCAGGCTTTTCCGACTATGTCGTGTCGTAATTACCGAACTGTCATCGATCCTCTCGGCTCCTGTCACAGCCTACTACTCATTTTCCACAGGCCGCTTGCCAGTAGCCATGGCGGATTACAAGATGAGTCGCCTATAGCAAGAATCGCGTAGAGAGAGAGAGAGAGAGAGAATTCGCGCGCGGTGCTTTTTGCTGGGCTCAAGGCCTCGACGAGATGTGAATGAATCTAGAACCTGTTTCTCCCCGCAGGTTCTTCGCACACTTGCCCGACTTCTTTGTATAGACTCGAGCGATACGCGATGATATTGTTGAAAATAGCCTTACCAACGCTATTTTCGCTGGCGTGCCGTCGTTTCACGCGACGACATCGCGTGACATCCTCGCCGCTTCTCGAGCACTCATCGCCCTCGAGAGAGAGTTCCTCTTTTCCGCGAGATCCCCGCACAGGTGTGAATCCACGTTCTTCATTCCGCGTACATGCATTACAAGTGTGGAGTTGCGGTCGGCTCCGTCAAAATGAGCGAAATTCAGTTGTAGGGAACGCGCGAGGGTAGTCGGGGAAGGTCGAGAGTAACGACGCGGTATTGCTGTCATCGTCCCGAGACCGTGAGAGACGGCTTCTCGATATTATTATCAAAATAAAAATAAAAGGAAGTGAAATAGGGGGACAAAGAGTGGGAGAGGTAGAGGGAATGTATTTCCGCGCAGGTAGCGCCACGGCGCGACCGCTGCGCTCGTCGATGCCGGCAGTTTCGAGCGAGTCCCGCCGGTGAGCGTCCGCACGACCCGACCGGGGTTTCCATCCTCGATCGGTGGCGGATATCGGTGCATCGTTCCTCGCCCGTACCGGTCTCGTCCGCGGACGGACCCGTCCGTGGTGTCCGCGTCGAGCGTTTCTATCGTTCGCTGCGCTTCCGCGTTTGCAGGGGCGCGTGCGCGGCTGGAGTCAAAAGCAAAATCGCAACGCGGACGGAATTCGCGCGCCACCGCCGCCGTTTTCCACTATGTCCACGCAGTCGAGGAGCAACAACGACCTTTGATCGAAGGTAAAGTCGCGCCATGGGTCTCGGTGCCATGATACCCCTTGAGTACTGAGGTTACTGTTCGTTCTTATGTCCTTGTGTTAAGCTGAGATCACACGATGCGCGATTCTATACCTTCTGACATGCATGCTAACTGGCAAGCTGTGAACAGCTCAGTTCGCTGCATAGGTCTTTCAATACACGACAGCGTTTCATACAGTGAACCGAACTGCTTAAAACATGTCGGTTCAACATGCGTGTAAGAAGAAGTGAACTCGTGTATCGTGTGATTCTGACTTAACATACATACGTTCGTTGTTTTACGACGCTGTCAGTCGGAAAAATCCGCTTCCGCACGCGATTCACGCGAATTCTGCACGGCGAAACCTTACCCGCCGTTATATATACTCGTTGACCTTTGCATAGATAGTCTGAGACGTGAGGGATTCGATGATACAGACTGATAAAACCTCATCGAGCAAGTTGCGCTCGATACTTGCTCGATGCGGATATCAACACGTCGCTGCAAAGGACGCGTTGACGTGTACGAATGTTACACATAACAAATGTTATATCTGTCTCATGTAATTCATGTCGAATACCTTGATGAGCATTACATGAGGTAACTTTGATATTGTGAGAGATGCAAGACTTTCGACCTTTGTCTAGATTCCTGACGTTTAATAGTCTATAGATTGCTGGATGGTCTCCCTTTGATAGAGATTAAGAAACTTTAGAGTTGGCTCGAGTCGTAGAAACCCATTGATATCTGTTAGTATTCGTTTCATTATTATTGTATAGCTATTATAATTGTACGACGGTATAGTCCCCCCTCTTTTCTGAAACGATCAGTATGAGAGTACAAGGAATTTTTGCTGGAACTGGCTGTCCTATTTTCGCGATGCCACCATCCGTGCGCGAAAATCGCGAATTACACTAGATACAAGGCTAGAGATACGAAGGAGTCGAAGAACCGCGCGGTTCTTATTTCATATAGCTGTTGTGTAACGGAACATTCTGAAGGTTGTATGTGTGTGTGTATGTGTGTGTGCCACTCGTTGTTGCGATCATCTTAAATTCCAATGTTCGTGTGTATCGTGGAGAGAGAAAGAGAGAAACGCGAACTACTGGCATATCTCGAGGGATACACTTCCCGAAGAACAGGAACGCTAAACGCGCTAATTACTTTTACCCGTGAAGCGTCGTTAGTTTTCTAACCGCGAGTAAAGCTCGAGAGTGGCTCGTGCACTCGAACTTACGGGGATTGCGAGCGACACGAGCGTAAAAACGCACGTGTACCCGTATTCCTCGTGCCATCAAGGAGAAACGGGCAATTTGTTCTCCAGTCGCGTTTACATCGACGTCGCAACCTCGCGAACGTGCACCGAAGGGAAAAAAAAAGATTAGTCTCGCTAAAATTAGAGTCACTCCCGGCGCTAACTAGATTTCCTGTTGTGCAGCAACAAAAAAATAATGGCAGTAAGTGTATGTGATTATCATTGCTAACACTGTCGCAGAACTTGCTGCACAAAAAACCGAGCTGTTGCGATTATTTCACTGGTCAATTACAGTCGCAAATGACAAATGTTTTTGCTCAGCGCCGTCGGGGCATTCCAGATCAATGGCCGATCGTCGTATTTTTGCCGTGGAATTGAGCAAATAACGTTGAACCTTTCACCGTGGCGATGATTCGCGATGATCAAGGAACGGCAGTGGCCGGTGCATCTATGCTGCGCCAGGTGTACGTACGTGAGGTGCACGTATATACAGAATAAATGGCATTACACGTTACACATTACGCTGTACTACACGCTACACGTATAACATATTATATGTTACGTCTTCCGTTCGAATGGACGATTAATCGTCTCGAAGCGGATACTATTATGAATCCGCGTCCGTGAAATATTGATTTGTCAGGAAAGTTACTGTCGATTTTTTTTTCGAAGATATAAACGCAAGGCGAAATTTTGTTTAGAGAAACTTCAGATATTATACTGATTCGACTTTCGTCGAATCGTTATTCGATTATACATTTCGTTTTCTCTTATGGCCATTCTCCATTCTTTGAACGCAACAGTTATTTGCATAGCCTCAGCGATATAGAGACACGCTTTTCTTCGCTTTTTAAACTGCCAGAACAGAATTTTTAATAAATAACTTTGATGTACCTCGAAATCTTGCAAAAAATGGCAATAATAAAAAGAAACATAAAATAATATCGTGAAAAAGAAATCATAGAAGAATTTGTAAAGCTTGCGTGATAACGAGACACGATTTTTCTTGGGCACATGAAGACCCAATCGGCGCATTCACAAGCACGCAGACATTCGCAAGCGTTCGCGCGAGTGCACTGAATAATCCGAATAATGTAATAAACGATAAATCGCGTCGCTCCTCGCGTAGTGCGTGGGACAAGCCTTCGATATCTTGCGCGAGCCTCCGTATGAGACCTGACACGGCTATACCGATAGTATTTTAAGTAACGCAATTAACCGTCAGGCACAACGCACGGCACTACATGTGCACGTAGAGAGAACTCACCTATTTCGAGAGATAACGGTATAAGATCGTAAACGATGCGCAAGATACATTACAGTTATGCAGTGCGCTTGCTCTATTCCGCGAGAGATTACACACGCCCCTTTTAACACTTTGACGGAGAGTCGAGAGATGCAACATTAGTAAGCGCTAAATATGAGGCAGGTTTACTCGTAGCGAGAATTATTGCGTTATAATCTCCGCGTGATTTACACGTGTACACACACATACACACACACACATGCGCATGCATTCATGCAAGCGCCCGTTCAGTATACTTGGAGACTTGAGATTAATGTAATTTATAACGCGGCACTATATGGGCATTACCTTGCAGCAGTTCGCCAACGGAAAGTTAGCGTACATTCGACGTGTCCACCGTGTCCACTTTCACGTCCCCCGTGTTAAAGCACAAGGGCGCGTGCAGGTGCGTACTTTTATGTATCCTCCACGCGGCACTCGTCATTACGCACGTTTATACGAACTCGCACCTCATCATTTTCATACGTTCTACGAGGGGAGATGCAACCTGGCGTGCGCGCACCGGCTCCTAGATACGATCCCCGACAGTCCAAAGATAAAAGGTTGAAGGAGAGAAACGTGTTGAGGTACAAATGTTCGGTAGGGCACAGGGATAAATTATTATACAAGCGCGCGTTTTCTTCCTAATTAAATCATTGTTCCATAGAATTGCTATTCGAGCAGAGAGAGAGAGAGAGAGAGAGAGAGAGAGAAAGAGTTATTCGTATGGCAAAGTGTGTCAGAGACCGCTCGGTTCGAGGACACGCAGCCTGCGGGCTATAGTTTTACTTTCTACGGGACGTCGTTTGGTGAAGAGCGAAAAAAACGAGAGGAAGACACGGGAGGGATACGGGAATTAAGGGGCTGGGACGAGAGGGGACAGAGAAAGAGAGAAGAGATCCATCGCGACCGAGATACTTACCGTATTTTACGTACGGCACCGATTCCGTCCCTTCGAGACTCCTCGTCTCCTCCGCTTGTCTCTCCTCTTGTCGGGCATTTGTCTCAACTTCGTGTCGTCACGCTTACATAATCATCTACAAAAAGAAAGAACAAAATTACGTTGAGCCCGCGCGGTCTCATTATAACGTTCGAGTAGACGTCTAATCGACGGGATGCCATCGACAGTAGCTGTTGTCCCTCGTTCACAAGGACAATGGACATCTGCTCCCCTGACGCATAGCGCGCTTCCCAAAAGGCACACGGCAGGTTCCCATGGCTGGCGGCGGAGTCAGGTGTGCCTAACCGCGGAAAGGTGAAGAAAGAGCGAGGGCTAAATGTCCCGCGCCTTGCCCTGCGACGCGTACGGTAATGGTGTACCGTATTTTTTCTTTCCCCGGGCGGACTTTCGTACGTAACCGTAATGGTTAATCGATTCTTTTTCGAAGCACCCCCCGCATTAGCCCGCGCTAGTTCTCCTCCCCCCCTTTTACCGCAAGTCTCAACTATATACCTGCTTCTTCGCAAGTCCCGCAAGTGTACGCTAGTTCAACAAGAAAGAAGAAACCTAATGAAGCGATCAGCGCGAGTCTCTGAACTATGACACGGAACGATAAAACTCGTCGAGACCGCGCTGAGAGAAAGAAACGGTTGATCTAACTAAAATTGTAGTTATTCCTAGCCCCAGCCATATCTTTGATCGTTCTGACACAGAAATGGTAGCAACGACACGCATACAAATTTGTTATCACTAACGTTATAGTAGAATTTAACAAAAAATAGTTTTTTTGACCATAAACTGTTTCTCTATGTGCCGTTGTAGTCACACATTTTTTTCTCAATATACTTCTCATTGGGGGATCTAATTTTGCAAATCGTTGTTATCGCGGCGAAAAGTCATTCCGCGCATCCGTCAGGAAGACGAAAGACCGGCTTTTTATACACCGTATTTGGTGAGCGCGCGTTTACGTTGGAAAATGAAGAGAGCCGTGTCGTAAGCCAAGCCCAAATTAGGACTTCGTTCTGGCACCGTCGGGTATTAACAGTTTCGGCTGTTGCCCAACGGGGCGAGGTAGTGTGTAAAATTCGTGCATGAAGTTCAATCCGCCGGTGAAAGCCACCGTCGAATTGTCCCGCGGTCTTAATGAAGTGAAAACTCATGCGCGTGCATTTTTCTGTCGCGTTCGACGATGAGCTCCTTCTCTTCTCCTTCAGTAAAACACGTCGCGGGTAGTGCAAGTAGATAGTCTCAGTCGTTGAACAATTGATCGATTGGTTTCTCAGCGAAAAGCGGAGGAAGAATCGCCGTGAAAAGCAAGAAATAGGAGGAAGAGAAGACGCGTATAGACGGGTTCGTTGTCCGATTACCTACCTGCGGTTCTTCTCCACGGCTCATTTTGCTCTTCTTTTTATTCGAAAACACGGAACGTGCATACACACACACACACACACACACGCACTCCTGGGCGACAGATGCACATACGCATCGACGATCTTTTCGTGGACACGAGGGCTGACGTCATCGCACGACAAACCTTTCAAGGAAGTTCTGTCTCGCGAAGCCTCCACCTTGCCCTCCCACGTTTCTTTCCTTTCTTCGCTCTTCTTACGCGAACAGGGTGTTCCGGTAGAATTCACCGCCGGAGCGACACCGTGAGACCCTTTAATTTTCGAAGACCCTCCTTTAGTCCGCATTCGCGTCGGCATTCGCGACGGAAACGGAAAACTGCACGCGATTGCCATGAATCTACTAACTGCTTGTTACTACAGACTCGCCATTCATCATTTCCAGCCGCTTTATGTCGCGAGTTACATTATCGTTTAACAATTTCACTTGCAGCACGTCGCGTCACGATGCGCCTTTTCAAACGCTACATGTCCGACACGAGCCCGCAGCTTGTCTCGGCAGTGGCTATTTCCCAAGAGGCCGACACTACGGACAATGTCGAAGATAACGAGAGGTCGTTGAAAAAATCCAAGCCGAACACTAAAGACGGATCGGAGAGCGCTCTTCTGGTCAAAGAAGATGTCGACGCGCAAAGAGAATCGACCAACTCCTCCGGTCACGCTCATAAAGGTAGGAACGGTAACGTTAACGACGATGTGTCGTACCGGTGACGTTACGACAATGTTGCGACGCTACCACAGCATCTGACCGTAACTAGCATCGCTCTTCACTTTGTCTATAACAGTCGATAATTGCCAGGGTTAAGCTTGTCTGACATATTACACTCCTCGAAAGGGTTCTCAACGTGGGGACGAAAGATGAGTCGGCGATGGGACCAGGTAAAGAGGTCAGACAGCTCGGAATTGCTGCCGGTGTCGCGACAACGACGGCGGTGGAGTCCGCATTGGAAAAGTCACGACGAGATCCCGAGGGAGAAAGAACACGTAACGTCAATCAGCCATTTGATCGTTAGCTTAGTAATGATGTTAACGCGCAGCCGCGGCGAATTTGTCGCGGCTAATAATCGTAAGACATCGGCCGTACAGAATCGTGGGAGACATTGTCCCGAGTAATCGACGATTTCAGGGTAACTGCGAATGCCCGAAGCCAAAGAGAATACCCAGGGTAGAATCACTGAGGAACTTCTTCAGGGGCAGTCACTTCCATCACTCGAAGAGCTCCGTGAAGACCGCGACGATACAGGAGGAGGACGTCGTCCTTCAACCTCCGGAAAAGTCTCTAAGCGAAGGGGCCGTTCTGGCCGTTTATTCCGGGAGTCTCGACTGCGAACACGCGCGGATGAATCGGGAGGTGTATCTCTGCCAGAAGAAGACACACTTGAGACACAGCATTGAGAATCTCCAAGAGCATCAACGGATGTTGGACTACATACTCCAACATGAGGAGATGCTGAAGACGCGACGGGATAACACGTTCTCGAGGAAAATGTCAGAGAATGCTCGTACGTGCGCTAACACTCTGGAATACTCCGGCGGTCGCTCGTTCGCAGAAGGCACGAGTAGCAACGACGTTCAGACGATGCGAGCGTCCAACCTCCATCTTGGTAACGCCGCTTGCCGGGTGAACGGTAAAGAAACGATCAGAGAGAATGCCCGACTTCTCTCGACTCACGCATCCAGCACGCTGAATGGCCTGGAGGATCTCTTGAACAATTTACGTCTAGGTTGCGACGAAAGCGGCTACGATTCGGATAGCACTCGAGCTGGCGCGGACTCTCCGGACAGTGAGCAGTCAGCGATACCGCCAATACTATCGGACGATTATCAGGGCGTCGACTTGTCGTTGGCGGATCTTACCGCGCCGGGGAAAGACGCGAACGGCACGGCGACCGGATCAAGCGAGCCGTCTTCGTCGGGCGCGTGTGCCGCGGCAGTCGAGAAAGTGAATAAACGCGCGACGAGCAACGTTGTTTCCTTCAACAAGCCGAATAGAAGTCAATCGACCGCGTTAATGCCGGAAGCGGACGGTGACGACACGGACAGTTGCGACGAGGATACTTTCGCCGATTTTCTGGAAGATCAGCCGGACTTGACGAGGATCTACACCAAGGAGGAGGTAGCCCATCTCCGCGATACTATGAGAAAGGTGTCCAAGACCACTTCTACCCTGTCAGGCGACGGTCTAAAAGAAGTCCAAATATCGGGAAACGGGAACGACCTCGACGTCTCCGACGGCGTCGACACGTGTGCTCGGGCAAACGTCGGTCTCACGACCGAAAGGAAACTTGGCGTAACACCAGAGAATCGCGTCGTCAGCGTGCCTTACTCGATCAAATTGCAGGCTCTGCTGAAGGACAAGAGGTCCAAGAACCGAAAGTGCACCAGTCCGAGTGTGCAACATCTTTTGGGACACGCTGCGTCCCCGTGCAAAGACAGTCCACCAGCTTCGAAAATCTGTCCCCCGTCTAGAACGATAAACAGTTCCCTGCGTTATTACAACCCGAAGAGATTGCACTCCACTTTGGAGCCCGACAACATGTCGCCCGACGTGGCGAGGAACGTCACCAAGAAACTGTCGATGACGAGTAGCGTCGACAAGCCATCGATGCCGTCCGTGAAGAACCTGGTGCGGCGCGAGCTAAGGACGATGAAGCTCACGGTGAGCCAAACGACGGGCCTGGGTATCTCGGTGGAGCGCTGCGAAGCGGCCAGACCGTACTACGTGATCGCCAAGATGGATGCCGACGGCGAGGCTGTCAGGTCGAGGCAGTTTCGCGTCGGCGACGAGATCGTCCGCGTCTGTGGCCGAAGGATACGCGGCATGTCGATGGCGGAGGCGCGCAACGCCATTCGCAGCTGCGTCGGCAATGTCGAGCTGCAAATCGCGCGCGAACCGAGCTTTACCTATGGCGAAGAGATCGGCGACACGTGGGGCGACGCGTTCGCGCGCACGCGGAGCGACCCCGACGATGCGTGGATCCCGAAGAACGGCGGAACCTCCGACAGCCATCCAGTCTCCGACGATGTGACCATGATGAAAGTCGAGGACGAAGCTCGTATTATGGACGAGACCGCTCAGAATCTTCAGAAAGTCACAGGGATGAGGAAATTCCAGATCGTGAGGAAACGTAGTGACACGCTGCCCGCTCGGCGAGGATCCAACCTGTCGGTGGACCTGCTGACGGTCGTGTTGGAGAAAAGCGCGGAGAAAAAGTTGCGCTTCTCTATCGTAGGCGGTGTGGACAGCAACAAAGGGCGTATGGGTATCTTCGTGAAGGATATTATGCCCGACGGAGAAGCTGCGAAAGAAGGTATCGTAATGCGAAGTATCTCTTAATACGAATCGCAAACAATGTACAGTCGCAGTAAAAAATGGGTTGTCTGACTTCTTTTTATAAATTTAGAAACGTATCTGTCTTGTTCAGTGGGACAGTTGGACACAGTAGATACGTTCCTAACACATAAAAGGAAGCCAGAACCTCTGCAAATATATACGCATTTATGAATCTCTGCGTATAGAGAGAGTGGATTGCAAAACAGTTTAAACACAATGAAATTGGATGCTCACCAAAATGCCAAAATTGAGAAACATTATTGTGTTTAATGAGTTTGCTCAGTAATTATATTATTAGTTGTTATGATAAGTATTTATTATTATTCAATGTTCTCAATTATATTATTGATTATTATATTATGGCATAAGTTTATCAGTAATGACTCTAAATTTTAATAGTTTGGTGAGCTCCCATCTTTATTTGGATCTAAATCTTTTTAATCCATTGTTTTACAATTGAGTCTCTAGCGAGCAATTCAAGATAAATCTAAAAAAGTACAAAAAGAGGGACACAGTCGTTTATACACAGTCGTATGTTTGTTGAATGTTGAAGGTACTCTAAGAGCGGGGGACGAAATTTTATCCATCAATGGCACCTCCTTGGACGGACTGACGCACGCCAAGGCACTGCAGATGTTCAAAAGCGCAAAAGCAGGGGACATGATACTCCGTGTCGCCCGAAGGGATCATTCGCATAAACGGTTGTTAAGCTAACCACGCGATCTCGAATAATATTTATTTACTACTAACACGGTTAGTGTGCCCCGCTTCGCTCTATTAACTGTAATAACCGTGTTGCTGAGTCTCCCATCTGCTTTGGTAGCGACCTTGACCAATGATCCTCTATTAGTCGACCGACCATACGAGTCTCAAGTCTAACGAAGGTTTTTATGTTGCAGATACGTGACACAGTCGAAATCTTACGATTGCCTCGACAAATTGACAAACTCCGTCGGCGAATGAAACCGTTCGCTATCGTCGTCCGTTAATTATCCAATTTCTTGCCAAGCGCTCGAAACACTTCAGAAAACACGACTTTCCCATCCGAGTTGCGGAGTCCCACCGAATTATATTAATTTGCCCGAAACGTCCACATTGTTGATCGCTGATACTTTTATCGTTCCATCGTTCTTCTGTTCTGTTTCCTGCGTTTTGTCTCCGGGAATCCTCCTTTATTTCGCACAAGTATATGCAAATCGCAATCAAACCCCCTTCGTTGATCATGACGCCGATCAATTATTCCTGTGAACTAACAGGACAGTTTGTGGACATTTGTAGTAACATTTTCTTTGATCGTTCACACGGGGAACCGACATTTTATATTACGACTTGCCTAGCGTTTCAGAACCTGAAAGCTTGAGAGATCTCATATACAAGACATATTCCGTTACATATTCATTTGCGTCCGTCACATATTGTTCATTTAAGAAAGGGATAATCGAAACGAACAATTGTTTCCGATAATCGAAACATGTTGCATATCGAAGTATTCACATTCTTTTCTTGTGTCTTTTCATAATACGCACATTAACATTGAAACGATAAAGTTAACTTAGTTTAGCGATAGGGGGTATTATGTATAGCCTTACAACTATGTCCTGTTAGATGAGATACGCTAACAACTTGGAACATGGTTTAACATCGTTGTGGGATTTAACATATGTTTTTATCTGAAAACGTATTGTCGTGTAAATCGACCTGTGCTGGAAAAGAGAAAAGCAAAACTGACAAGCGTTAATTTCATCCGAGAGCGCGTAAGTCATCGCGATCGTATATAACGTTAATACATAAGTTCTTAGTATTAATCTTTGTTAAGTTACTGTTTTTTTCTGTTTTAAGAGACTGACATTAGGAATGTCTACCTACAAAAATGCTGTGATATCGATTGTAGTCTCACCAGCTGATATTACTAGGTAATCGTGTATTTAATAATGATAAACGTGATTTTTTGTTGAATAAAGCATTATACTTCGCAAGCTGCCTCACTTTAGTTTCACAGGATTATATCTTACAGAACAATCTTACTTTGCATTGAATCGATTATCGATCACGAAGACGTGTTGAAGATGAGTTGAAGGTTAGATTTTCAGATTAATAGTACTTCGACTATTATTTCAGTAATAAGAATGCCGTGAAGTAAGATATGTCTACCACTTGAATTACGGTAGAGACTAGAGAGACAGAGGAAAGCACATGAGTGGTGGTGCAAAGAGCCACTCAAGGCAAGTCACTTCGCAGCCGAGTAGAAAGAAGACTCGCTCAATTAATTAAATCGCAGGATAATATCGCATGCCTCGGTACTTACTCGCATGCTATGAGACTGAAAGTCGTACCAATCAGTACGGAGAAACTAAGCGTGACTTTCGGTATGTCGACGAATCTACAAGGACAAGGATGATTTTGTGAAGTGCATCGAAAGAATTTTATAGCAAAAATGTTATAGGATTTAGTAACCGAGGGATAGATCGACATTCTGCAGTAATTCTATCCTCAGTAATAAACTATCCTTATCCATTTCATGTATATAAAGCGAGGTCTACAATGAGAATTTAAGCCATAAAACTTAAGCTTTAAGCCTAAGTAAGAAATTGAGACCAATCACAATCAAATATAAAGAAAATAATCGACTGTGATTGGTCAATTTCTTACGGCTTCAGGTTTGAAGCTTAAGTTTTATGGCTTAAGCTCATATTGTAGACCCCATTTTACTTATGAGCTGAAACATACTATTAAAACACCTGCTATGTTTTTAGCGAAATTTACTACATTCCTTAGCAAGATAGACCTTATTGACAGTCCATTTCTGCACTGCTAGAAATATGGTAAAATTGAAAAGAAATTTTATGAAGGAAAACTAATATTTAACTGTGCTTAACATAATATTAACTCGATAAAATCCGTCGCAAAACTCACTTACTTTAAGGTAGGTTGATGCTTCTTCAGACACAATGTATTTTTGATATATCAGTTGTTCTTGAAAAGACTCGAACTTCAGAATCACGTCGTAGGACGACGATGACGACTCGATCTTGCCTGTGGCTTTCATGCACGATGTTACGTTTTTGATTTGATGATGACTGCAATCTACGATATATACTAGCATAGTCAAAAGATCTCGGCAAAGCAATAACGTTACTCGTAACTTACCCGATTAGTTGAAATAGACTGCACCCGTGTGCGGTGCACGCGATGTGCATGGTGTCGACAGTCACCATGATGCTGACCCAAGATCATCATAGAAAATCGGCAAGAAATATCTGTCTTTGTCGACTCCGTATTCAGCGTAGATTTATCGCGGACGCAACTCGTTATGAGGCAATAAAATGTCGAGCAACGCCAGCATTAGGACGAATGTCAGTATAGATATCCACATCATAAAATATATAAGTACTATAAATGTGTGAGATTACGTTCGTATCGTACTCACTTACTCTTGACTCAACGTGTATACTCACTCCCGTGAATCATTGTAAATTTGTATTCTATGGACGAGTATTCTTTCAAGATTTAGTTTCCAGATCGCTCGAGAGCGTGTTCCAGTGGTCTTCCATGACTTCATACAAGCGACGAAACTGATCGTAACAAGAAACAAGAAAACGGTCGGACGTGTATATGAACATGTGTATGTGTGGACACGAGAGAAAACGCATCCTACTTGAATATGAGTAAAATGGAGACAAGCGCGGCGCTTGAAGGAGGATCAATCTTATCGCGGTTATATTTTTATATGATTATATGTGAATATTTTTTCCCGAGTAAACGATGAGCATTACCTCGTACGGCAACTTATTACGAAGAAAAATAACGCAGAAAACATTTCACGAGCTCACTCTGAAATGGCTAACAGCTTATGCACCACGGAAGTATTTGATAAATATCTTTTATAATACACAGGTTTTCGAAAGTATACTACTTATTAAAACATATATTGATTGGCAAATGAGAGCCAAACGTCGATCTTTGAGCGAATATTTATCGATTAATATCATATTCTCGAAGTACATGCATTAGCATGATTTTCTCTGTAATCGCTCATTAAGGGGATCATGAGCAGAAATGGCATGCGCTACTGTATCGCTGATACTTTGCGACAATAGATTTGTTCGAGTTGTACTATTCCCACTTTTACACCTAATGCTTGTTGCACATTAGTGCACCCCAAACAAATTTTCCAAAATACGTTTTAAGGACGCTTTTAGGATGAAGGGACGTCATCAGAATATTTTTAGAACATCCTTTGAAGATAGATTTGAGGCTTTCACGGCCATTGATACAATGTCTAGGTATAGCTTCCGGAATGGAGCCGTGTCTTGAATCAGCGATATGCCGACGTTTCGCAAACGTTGCAGTTTGCATCATCAGGGCTGAGAACTCTGATACATATTTTGGAAAATTTGTGTTGTTTGGGATGCACTAGTGTACAACGGGCATTAGATATAAAAGTGTGAATAGTACAAGCAACTCGAATAAACCTAATATCATGCGGTTGCGAAATTACACGGTGTAAAGGTAATAGCGTCTTTTAAACTAAACCTCTGATTGCCTGGTCTGTTCGAAGTACAATGTCTCGCGCAATTTCTCAATCTTCTGAGTGACATTTGTCTATCATCCTAGACAGTAACAATATATCGCATGATTTGCGAAAATGATCGAGAATAATGATGAGAAAACTGCAAGTGCGCATATCTTGCGCTCTATGTTCGCTCCCTTTCGTCCTCGTAGTGTTTCTCGCATATATTTTTCTGTTCTATGAAAAAATGTTCGGAGCCAGCCATGAAAACCGGAATACGCTCATTGTTATTCGAAAAAAAAATTATGGACTTTGATATTTATTAATTATTTATACATTTCTTTTGCTCGCGCTAATGCCCTTCCCATTGCCGCTTTCCTTGATAAGATAATTTTTGATAAACTCTGACCATTTATAGACGCGCGTGATACGTTGCGGCCGCAGTTATTATTTAATCGTTGCCAGTAGACGAGCCGAGATGCGCTTTCACGGAGATTCGCGGATATATTTAGACATGATCGAATCATGTTGCATATCGAAGTATTCACATTTTCTTCTCGTGCCTTTTCACAATACATACATTACACATTCAAACGTTAAGGAGATAACTTTAGGAGATAAAATTAACTTAGTTTAGCGATAGGAGATATATACGGAAGAAACAATTCTGTTGGTGGAACAGAATTTTCGGTTGCTCAGGGATCAGACGAAAACTCGGCTGTAAGAACAGAAAAATTCATTTATGAGACTTCTGTATAGTCAGTTGTTCTCAGTTGCCTCAACCGCGTTCTAATATCGTTGAATGTTTAGACGAATATTTTCGGTTGCGACAACAGAAATATTAATTTTCATAACTGAGATATCGCTTCTGATCATCTAATTTTCAGTTCAGTTGGCACCAATTGAGATTTTTTTTGCGTGTATACGCAACCTTACAACCATGTTCTAGTAGATGAGATACTCGGAACGCAGTTTAACATCGTTGTGATATTTCTTCTGTTTTAAGAGGCTAACATTAAAAATGCTCTACCTACAAAAATGCTGTGACATTGATTGTAGTCTCATCAGCTGATATCATTAGGAAACTGTGTATTTAATAATGATAAATATGATTTTTTTATTGAATAGAACACTGTACTTCGTAAGCTCTCCTTTTAGTTTCACAGGGTTACACCTTACAGAGTTCATGGCGATCTTAAGATTTTTGTCCTACGCCGAATCGATCATCAATCACGAAAACGTGTTGGAGAAGAGTTGGCTAGCAGTTTAGATTTTCAGACTAATATTACTTCGACTATTCTTTCAGTGATAAAAATGCCGTGAAGTAAGACATGCCCGTTCGTATTACCTGAATCGCGGCAGAGAGGAAAGCACATGAGTCGTGTAATTTTCTGTATAAACAAACAAATCAATTTCGCGAATTTTTTTACTCACCGCAGCAGCTATTGTCATTGACAAAGGATATAAATTACCCGCTGTCAATTTACATGGTACGATACTTCGGTAAAGCGTGATAATTAACAATGATTTCAGTCTCAGTGAGAACCTGTACCATTCCGCGGCATATCTGGAAGAATTTGTTCAAAACTTTGTTTCTTAAATCGCTTTTTTTTATGTCAAAGACGATACATCTGTCCCGCAAATATGCGTGTATATGTATTTGTACGTGCGAAAGAACGATTTATTGAATCAAATAAATATCAAATTAACGTTTCTTTGAAATAGTCCAAAAATAAATTATTTAGTTGACACAACAAAAATATTTCTTTGGAACTAAGTTGCAAATAAATATTTTTGTTGCGTCAAACAAAATTTTGTTTGATCAATCAAAAAATTCGTTTGGACTATTCCAAAGAATTGTTTATTTGACCAAAGTGTTTATTCAACCAAATCGTTCTCGTGTGCATAAAAATATATATTTAGAAATATAAAATAATTGTATTACGCTCGATAGAATATGTTTTCACTTTCGTCCATTAATTTTTGACCAGAATAACATACGATCATCAGTTGTAATATTGCTCCCATAATTATAAACAAGTACCTAATTATTTCTTCCAGCTGGTCTAACACATAAACGATCTGTAATACATTGTAAGTGCTATACATTTGAGTGGTCTGAAATATAATGATGTCTTCATGAGATTTACGCGATAATGATACTTAGACACGCGAGATTACGAAATACGGTGACGATACGACTTCTCGAGTGCTGCAAAGAGCCGCCCAAAGCGAGTCACTTCACAGCCGAGTAGAAAGAAAACTCGTTCGATTAATTAGATTGCAGAATAATAATTGCATGCTCCGGTACTTACTCGAATGCCCACAAGACTGAAAGCCGCGCCGATCAATAAAGAGAAGCTAAACGCAACGATCCGATGCGTGTCGTTCAATATGTTGACAAACCTACAAAAACAAGGATGATTTCATCAATTGCACCGAGAGAATTATATAGCAGAAATTGCTATAGGATTTTGTAACCGAGGGATAGATCGACATTCTGTACTAATTCACTATCCATCCATTTTATATGTGCTACTTAAATTTTGGAAGCTAAAATGTGCTATTAAAATATTTGCTATGTTTTTAGCAAATTTACTACGTTCCTTAATAAGATAGACCTTATTGACAGCCTATTCCTGCACTGATAGAAATATGATAAGAAAAGAAAATAGAAAAGAATTTTTATGAAAAAAACTATAATATTGTCAGTCTAATATGAATACCATTTTTAGCATAACATTAACTCGACAAGATCTGTCGCAAAACCCACTCACTCTACAGCAAGCTGATGTTTCTTCAGACACACAATGTATTCCTGATATATCAGTTCCTCTTGAAAAGACTCGAACTTCACAACTGCATCGTAAGACGACGACACGTCGACCTCGTCTATGGCTTTCACGCGCGACGTTATGTTTTCGATTTGATGACTGCAATCAGCGATATATACTGGGATGGTCAAAGGATCTCGGCGAAGTAATAACGTTACTCGTAACTTACCCGATTAGTTGAAACAGGCTGCACGCGTGTGCAGTGCACGCCACGTGCATGGTGTCGGCAGCCACCATGATGCTAATACCATTTATGATCATCACCGTGGTGTAAAAAAAGATCGGGAAGAAGTACTTGTCCTTGTCGACTCCGAATTCGGCGAAGACTGCGATTTGTCGCGAACGCGACTCGTTGAGAGGCAATAAGATGTCGAGCAATGTCGGCATCAGGACAGGTATCGTCACAAACATCGCCGTCATAGAATATATAAGTACTACAAATTAGAGATGTGCAAATCAAAGATTTTTAATTTCGAATCGAATCTCAGATTTTAATTTCAAATTCGAATCGAATCGTTAAAAGAATTTTTAATTAACATAATCATTGAACTCAACATGAAAATAGTGACTTTAGTAACTAACGGAGAGAGATAATATTAATCATGTGATATCAATTCGTTTTAAGGTAAGAAATATATAATATATAGTTGGTAAAAGTGTATAAAATACAGTTTCAGCCTTGAAAGCTGCGCAACGACACATATCGATCCGATAGTTGTCGGTAAGAGTTTATCTAGAAGCCATTATCTTCTTTTAATATTTTTGAAGAAAATCTTAATGTATAGCAAACTTTTCAAGTCATGCTAATTCCCGTAAAGCTGGATGTCTTTAATAGTTCTTCGTTAATGCTGATATGAGCGATCCGTATTCGAATCTTTTCGATTCGAAATGTTCGAATTATTCGAATTTGAATCATAAGGATTCGAATTTGAATCGAATCGAATTTCACTTGATTCGATTCGATTCGAGTTCGAATAGTTCGCTCATCTCTGCTACAAATATGCGAAATTAAGTTCGTATTGTGCTCTCTTCCTCTTGATTCACTGTGTGTACTCACTTGCGTAAAATACTGTAAATTTGTACGCTATGGATGAGTATTCTTTTAGGGTCTGGCCTTCTAAATCGTTCGAGAATATGTTCCAGTGGCCCTCCATGATCTCATACAAACGGCGAAACTGATCGCAACGAGAAGCGAGAAGACAGTCGGACGTATATATGTGCACGTGTATGTGTGGGCGCGAGAGAAAACGCATCCTACTTGAATATGAATGAAATAGTAACAAGCGCAGCGCTTGAAGCAGGACCAACCTTGTCGCGGTTCCAGAGCTGATTCAGTAACTTGACGAGAAAAGCGGAAGTTATGATCATCTGATAGCAGCACTCGAAGATCATCTGTCCGTTGTTTCTGTGCTTGTACAACGTAAATATCTGCGGATAAACAGCACCAGTGATCCTGTCTGCCACGTGTCGGAAAGCGACGAGCGAGTTTCCCAGTGGAGCTCGCTCGGATTAAAACGGACTGACTGAGCGACGGGCATTACCTCGAACGGCAAGTAACTTATCTCGAGTACGAAGCAGAACAACGACAAGAAACGTTTGGCGAACTCACTCTGGAACGGCCAGCAGCCTATGCACGACAGAAATTTTCGATTGATATTATATTCCCGAAGTACGTGCACCAGCATGATTTTAGGTCTTCCGTAATCGCTCGTCAAGGGGATCGCGCTAGGAGAAATGACACGCTTCGCGCTGCATCGCCGATACTTTGGCGCAACGATACTTTGCGACGATATCATGCGGCTGCGAAATTACTGGGTGTCAAGGTGATACCGTCAGTCTTGGGAACTGAGCCTCTGGTTGTCATGTCTGTTCGAAGCGCAATTACTCGCGCAATTTCTCAATCTTCCGAGTGACATTTATCTCTCGTCCCAGACAGTAACGATATATCGCATGATTCGTGAAAATGATCGCGGATACGGAAATAGTAATGAGAAAATTACAAGAACTTATATCTTGCGCCTTATGTTCACTCTCTTTCATGCTGCATCGTCTCTTCCCTGTATTTTCCTATTCTACGAGAAAATGCTCGAAGCCAGTCACGGAAGCCGGAGTGCGTTTATTGTTATTTGAGAAAAGATTATGAACTTTGATATTTATTAATTATCTATACATTTCTTTTGCGAATGTGCTCGCACTCGTGCTCGGCGCGCTGCGGCCTTCCTTGATAAGATAATCTTTGATAGTCTCTAAGCCATTTATAGACGCGCGTGATATGTCGTGGCCGCAGTTATCACTTAATCGTCGCCAGTAGACGATCCGAGATGCACTTCCACAGAGATTCGCGGATCTGCGCTTTCGCATCGCGAAGAACTGTTTTCGCGAGCAGTACACGACCGGCCACGTTGGTCGTGAACGACGGGAAAATCGGAGAAATTCTTTATGACACCGGTGAGGATGTCGTGCGATACCTGTCGGAGGTAAGTCCGCAAATCTCAAAACGAAGCGCGAAATAAGCTGAGTGAATTATACATGCATTTCAGAAGTATCCCGGCATCCCGATTAACGATTGCGGCTCGTTAGTGCTGATGCCTGGAATAATAGACTCTCATGTGCACGTAAACGAACCCGGCAGAACGGAATGGGAAGGATTTCACAGCGCTACACGAGCGGCCGCGGCCGGCGGTGTCACGACGATCGCGGATATGCCTCTGTAAGAATAATATTTCTTATACGGAAAAAATAATTTTGCTCTTTTAGCAAAATCGTCGTTGCTACTGCATATTCGTAGTGATATCAAAAAAATTTAGTTGACCCAACTAATTTTACAAATTATTTGTTATCAGAGCAGAAGTAGTTTCGTTGCCAGGATAGAAAAAGTTTGTTGAGTGTATTTGTCCTAATAATCACGTTAATTTGCTATTGATGCAAAATAATGTATCCTTAGCAAATTTATTTGCTATCGGAGCAAAACTGCAACTGTTTATATAAGTCCATCATGGTTCTTACAGCAAAATAATTTGTAGATTCAGTAAATTATGTCCAGCAAATAGTGATTAGTACTTTTAGCAAACCTTTTTGCTATTCATATAATAACGAAAAAATTTTTCTAGACCAGCAGAAAATTTACTCGGCCAGTAAATTATTTTTCTCCGTGTACGCTTTCCCGTCATAGAGAAATGCTTCATCTGTCTCCTAGGCTGATGCCGTATACGCAGAAAAATAATTTTGCTCTTTTAGCAAAATCGTCGTTGTTACTGCATATTCGTAGTGACATCAAAAATATTGTTAGTTGACGTAACTAATTTTACAAATTATTCGTTATCAGAGCAGAAATAGTTTCGTTGCCAGGATAGAAAAAATCCTCGCATTGAAACGACGATCATTTCCAAGGCAAACTCATTTTTCGTACCACACACGGAAAAAAAAGATTTGCTAATATGTGGACAAAAATATTAACTGCAGGAGCAAATTTTCTTGCTTTCATAGTAAAGTTATTTAGCTATCACAACTAAATTTTTTTCCGTGTAGAAATTCTATTCCGCCTACCACAACCTTGGACAATCTTAAAGCTAAAGCAAAGGTGGCGTACGCCAAGGTGTTTGTGGACGTCGCGTTTTGGGGCGGCGTGATACCAGGAAACCAGGTATACATCGCAATCAAACTTATATAATTATAATTGTACACAATCGTTTGAGAAACGTCGGAGACATTCGGCTTGCAGAATTAACTAATCCTTCAATGACAAGAATGCCGTGAAATAAGACATGCCCGCTCGTACCACCTTAAATCGAGCATAATTGCGTGAGTCGCTCTCGAAAAAGTCATGTAGGAAATCAAAAAGCGCATTTACGAGCGCCTTGCGTTTACTCACCACAGCGTAAGTCGCCATTGATAACGGTAGCAATTTACCTGCAGTTAAAGTACACGGTATAGCGCTCCTGTAAAGAGTTATGATCATTAGGGATTGGAGCCTCGGCGAGAAAGTGTACCATTCCGCTTTGTATCTGTAGAAATAATTTTCGGAATTAACGCGTTTCGCTTATGAAAAATATGTCTTTGCGAGGGAACTTACTTTCTAATTGTTCCGCTTTTCTTTTTACATATATATGTACGAACACATAAAGCATCATGTGAATCGTAGTCCGACTCATACGAATCGGAAATTAATTCACACGAATCGAAGTTTTGATCCTACACCGAGAGAACGATTTGTTGAATCAAATAAACGCTTCTTTGGAATGGTCCAAACAAAATTTTTGATTGACAACAATAATATTTCGTTGAAACTAAGCCGTAACTAAATATTTTTGTTATGTCAAACAAAACTTTGTTCAATTAATCAAAAAATTCGTTTGGACCATTCCAAAGAAGTGTTTGTTAGATTCAACCAAATCGTTCTCTCTGTGCAATATTAATTTTGCACTTCAAGTTCCAAATGCATCGCAAATTTCGTCGAACTTGAGAAACTAATGGATAGAGTACGTATATATATATAAGGTGTTGTACTTACATAAGAGTCAGTACGATGGATTGCCTATGCGTAATTATGCGTCATCTCAGAAGGTTTTAATGAAATGCTCACTTTCTTTCCCACGAAGCATATTTTCGAGTAGCACGCTGTCAGCGTTGTTTAGTGCTAATGCGTCATTTTATCCTTGTAAAGAGCAGTAAAAATAAAATGACGCATTAGCGTTGATAGCGCGCTTCTCAAACACATTCAAAGTTTATAGTTCTAAGTAAATATTATGCCACGACTTTCTACTAAGATGGCGCACGGTTACGCGCGCCTACCAGCGAATCGCAAAGACAACCCGTCGTACTGACCTGTATATAAGTGCAACACCTTATACGGCGCAGAGCAAATATCAGATAATTATTAGGACCTTAACTTAGTTTCCGCCCAAAAAATACTGAGAAAAAGCATTTATTGTAAAAAATTTATTTAAATTATTTCAATGAAAGTATTTTCCATCACTTTCTACAACTTTTTGCCATCTTTCTGGCAACTGGGCGATACCATCTCGATAAAACGATGTTTGTTTCGAAGCAATCCATTCGTCCACCCATTCTCGCACTTCTTCAACATTTCGGAAGCGTG